TCACACCGAGCAGCCTCCACGTTGTCGACGAACAACTGTTCTTTCTGAACAAGGGCTCGTTCATAGATGCCCCTAGAAGTGTGGCCGCCCACAAGGCCACGAAGAGCGACGAGAAGCTCTAAGAAGAGGTCAGCCCCAGAGCTCTCCTCGGGAGGCCAATACCCTCTTGAGTTGATGGCAGCTCCCTGGCTGACGGGTGCCGCCACCGAACCCCCACGCACACGCTGGGCAGCTTGGAAATCCTCCTGCTGCTGGTCGAGGTCATTCGAGACCTCCCGGGGCTCAACAATGGCGCCCTCCTCTTCCTCTTCTTCCTCCTTCTCCTCCTCTTCATCCGAGGAGCCGAAGAGACTCTGATAGGAGCGTCGAGTCTCCTTCTCCTCGCGGAGTGGAGACTTAGAGGCGGTACGCTTCTTTGAGGGCTTGGCGCCTTCGGCTTTAGAGGCCTTAGCGCGCGCAAGACCCTCGGCAAGCGAGAGACGTTTGCGAGGACTCCCTTCCTCATCGCCACCGGCTTTGGGAGTGCCCTTAGCCTTAACGGCCGGACTCTCAGAGCGCACAGAGGTCCTGGGACTGTGATCACCGTGATCACTAGCGGACGACTGCACGCTGTCTTCTTTGTGCTCACTGGGCACTGGGCTGTGCCCTCCCACAGAGCCCGCAGGAGCATCATGAGTGCTCTCGGACTCGGAATCGTCCTCACTGCCCGAGTTGAACTCACGTTCTACGAACCGAGGGTTCGGACGATTGTCTGAAGACGAGGGCGACGGACTGCGGCGCCTGCTTGCGCGCTTGTCCGCAGCCGCGTCACCCGAGGAACCGATCGCCTCGGAGGCCACCTGAGTAGCCTCCTTAAGTGCAGAGCCTTTGCCGTGAGGCTTAGTGCTCTTGGCCTGCGCCTTACCGGCTGCAGCTCTGGAGGCGTGTCTTAGCACCGCTCTTAGCAGTGCACGAGGCATGTTAACGGTCGAAGTGGCGACCTTGACGAAGAGCGCACAGGTTGCTGCTCGAGGCTCTAACTGTAAAGTGAGCCTCCGCCGCGCTCGCGCGGCCGAGTCGATGGTTTTCGACTTTTAGAATGAGAGTTTGTGACGAACATCTCTTCATTCTGATTGGTCGGTAAACCGAACCTAAGTGGGGGAGGATGTAACGGGGTACGTAGCACTAAGTGTACCCTGGTTACATGAAGTGTGACACTTCACACTTCAGGAGTATGACATGTCATACTCCGGGATATTTGGTACAAGGTACCAAGGTCATTCAAAACCAACCATTGGTTAAATGACATTGCATTTCTATAGGTAACTGATAGTTTGTATTAACCTCAAACTTAACCTACCTATGAATATACTCAGTTTACAATCTACCTTATTTAGGTCACTTCGCTCTCTTTAATTAAAGAGGGGACCTGTGAACTGCAGCTCACTGAGAGTTTGTATACTCTCGGAAGATAACTTCCTCTAGCGCAAGGTGCTGTGTGACCCCGTCACACGTATGCAAGCAAGTGTGGACACAAAACAACCTAAAAAATATATTCAGCCAATAAGAGGAGGCCATTTTGAGCAAATGATAAAACCTAATTTGAAGTATAGCACTATTAAATCGTCAGTCTAGGGCTCAACCGGTTACTGACCCCTCTTTTTATCCAAGTGACGAGGGTCCAATTCCCCCCACGACGGTAAAGTTAATCACCCTAGCGGTGACCTTGGTGTCAGGGCTGCACATGCTGCCGTCCCCCGCCCAATCTGGACTGCCTTGTTTGCTCAGTATTTTAGAGACCCGCTTTCAGCCAAGCCTTCTTTAAAGTGTCTTCACTAACTGCATCCCACGCAGCGGTACACGTTCCACTAGGCGCTTGCGCTTTTCAAGGGCCGACATGCGCTCAATTGCCAGAAGACACTCACGTAGAGGCAGGAGACCGCTAGGTCCGATAGCGCCGAGCTCAAACGCTAGTGTAATAGCTCGCAGCTTCTGCTTAAAAGGACCCATCACCTCGACGTCCAAGGGCTGGAGAACCGACGTACTTTTTGGCAGTGGCACCAACTCCATGCACCAAGTTGCCAATCGCTTCTCCCTCTCCGTGTTCACGTGACACTTCAGATTGTCAACGTGAAGGGCTATTGGTCCGGGGTGAGTGCTACTCACGTAACATCCCCACGAGTCCTCGACGAAAGTTTCAAGCCACACTCGACTGTCCATCCACGCATTCGTCTGCACCGCTGTCACTACTTGGCTCGAAATACCGCGCCTCTCTTCTTCGACGCGTCCACAGGCTTCCCTGTGAACATGATGACAGGCCGCAGCTTTTGACCCTCAGCGGACACTATCAGCAACGCACTAGCTCGCTCAGAGCGCGTACGGCCTCTAATCTTGACGCTTTTCTTAGCACTACGCTCACTAATGATACGAGTACGCGTAGCATCGTAGTATGCCGCAGTCTCATCGAAGTTGAAGATACAGGACCTTGCGTACGTAGCATTCACCTTGGTTCCCACCTGGATCGCGAACGCCCGCTGTTCGGCTTCGAGATCTACCGTAGAGAGAATGGACTTCGTGAGGCGGCGGAGCGAGAAGCCCTGCTGATAAATGAGCCGTCGAATTAATCGCCCTAGACTCTCCTCCTTGTTCTTTCCAAGTAATCGTTAAAGAAGTCGAGGTACTTCTCTTTGACGAACAGCAACACGTGGGACGTCTTCAAGGAAGAATCGTCGCGACGCATTTGCTTAACCCATTGTATGAGTTCATCGCAATAAGGAAACGAGTTGACTCTGCCTTGACCATTAACACTGCACTTGGACCTTCGCTTACGATTACACGCATCTCGTATAGCAGCCTCAAGGTGTATCCAGCCATGCACCGCAGTGCGTGACTTAATACCGTGTAGCCGAGCCGCTTCAGTGACGGTTACACCCGCATTGATATCATCTAGCACCTTGACGTTAAAGCGTTTGTGCGCGTTTCGCTGGTCTCGAGCGACAGCTTCAACCACTTCATCCTCCGCCACTTCGACGCCAACCTCTGACACGAAGTTTGGGCTGATATTCGTTCCCCACGCCACCATGCTCGAAAGCGCGCTAGTGCCGCCTCCTCAACACCCTCCATTCCACGAGAATGGAATGGACTCAATTTTCTGTGGCCCCAGCCAGTTTGACCCTGACACCATTTTTTTGGTCTAAAATACTGTATGATCAAGCTTTCATAAAACCTCAAGTATCGTTGATTTGTGTCCGTCATATCTTTCTGTCCAAATCTGTACCAACCAAGCAATGCCCTTAGTTTATGTTTTAGAGTTTACCTTGATGGGGATTTAAGCTTTTAATTTGAGCTTTAAATGAACTAACACAAAGAATAACATCGGAACCTTTGTCGTAAACCTCTTTTTTTTTATTTTCTGCCCTAAAAAAAGATTTTGTCCAGCCTGGCCTGATGAATGCGCGGCTCGCTATGGAGCTCGACGCAGGACCAACCTACGGATATCGCGGGAGGCTACGGGCGCTCGCTACCGCTTAGTAACATCAAATGAAAATGTAGGATGTTTAGGACAGTTTCAGGACAGAAAATGTTTTCCAGCTTGGGAAGATATATGCCTAGCTGCTATCACATCGACGAAAGTGAGTAAACCTCAATGATTCAAAAGTGCATTAATGTAATATATTGGCTCAATATGGATGGATTATATTAAGGTGCCGACACATAATTTTATCAACATCTAAGTACAGGCGAATGACAGCGATGTTCGCCTTTTGGCCAGTGGAATCTGTCTTCGTCACTAAATCTACCAGCAATATTTGCTACGGGTAGGTTCAAAGGCTTCCGACACCGTGCCGACGTATAATATAGGCACGGATGACAGAATATGCCGCGGACCAATACAATCCACTAGTTCAGATTACATCATTCGCGTATTTGCTCTCTTATCGACAAAACACTAGAAACCGGTATGAGCCTTCAAGACCTCGCACCTGCCAACTCCCTGTGCGCTCGCCAAACAGCTATCAGCGCATTCGGCCGGTTAATTGCTGCGGAGGGGTGACCATAGACTTCGCCGCAGCATCTCTCATTGGGGGCGGAAATGGGGCGGTGTTATTGAAGCTCATGGATTACTTTGACGTTCAACTGGCCTTTGCAGAGGTACGGGGAGGGAAACCACTGGCTAAGAACTCTTCACGAG